ACGTAAGAATTGGAAAATTATTTGTTGAGAACATATATGTGGATGTACTTGATTGAGACAATGCACAGTGTATTTTGGATGGAAAATTCATTTGTGTGTTGTGATGGTGTAAAGTGAATTAATAAATAAATAAAAAAAATCATACAGTATGTGTCCATCTGTGTGTTTGTTATCTCATTAGCATAGTGTCCTTGGGGTTCAACCATGTTGTAGCATGTGTCAGAATTTCCTTTAAGTCTTGAATAATATTCCATTTATGTATATACCATGATTTCTCTATTCATCTGTTGATGGACACTCAGGCTATCACTACCTCTTAGCTATGGTGAATAATGCTTCTATGAACATGGTTGCAAAACTCTCTTTTCAGGACCCTGCTTTCAATTCTTTTTGATATGTACCCAGAAGTGGGTTTGCTGAATCATATGCTAATTTTATTTTTAATGTTCTGAGGTGCTGTTAAATTATTACTCACAGTAGCCGTGCCATTTTACATTTTCCCAGTAGTGCACATGTGTTACAATTTCTCCACATTTTCAAGACACTTTCTTTTTTAGAAATATTTAATTTTACTTATTATTTAATTTGCTACAGGGCATGTGTACTCACTAGCGACAGACAGTGAGAAAGAGAGAGAGAGGGAGAGGGGGAGGGAGAGAGAGAGAAAGAGAGGAGAGAGAGAGAGAATGAGAAAGCAAATCACCAGGCCCAGGACTTGAATGGTGATAAGACATGTGGGAGTCCTGCCCCTTAACCACCACACCACTTGCTAGCCCTGACACTTGTTATTTCTTGATAACCATCCTAATGGGTATGAGATATCTCACTGTGGTTTTAATTTGTGCTTCCCTCATGATTAACGATGTTGAGGGGTTTTTGTTGTTGCTTTTTATGTTTATTGGTCATTTGTATATCTTCTCTGGAGACATTTCTATTCAAATCCTTTGTTCGTTTCTTTTTTTTTTTTTTTTCTTCCATAAGCAAGTGAGGGAAAGAATGAGAGAGCACTCCCAACAGGGAGTGGTCATGATGCCAAGAATATGAGCAGCAGAAGAAAAACACAAAGTGAAATTCATAAAAGTTCAAAACAATTGTGCTTAAAAGGATACTATCAAGACAGTGGAAGGCTAATCCATGGAAAGGGAGAAAGTATTCGCAAACCACATATCAGATAAATCTGAATAAGCATTTCTCCATGGAAGATAAATGGTCAATAAACACATGAAACAATGCTTTAACATCAGTAGTCCTATGGGACATGCAAATTGAAATCACCAGGAGATTCCACTTTGAACCCACTATAATAGAATGGCTAGAATAAAGAAGTCACATGGGAGACCAGCAGTTGGCGTAATGGCTGGACTCCCATGTAGTCGACCGCGGTTTGTGTCCCGGACCCGGTGGCTTAAAACTCACGCTGGGCGCGTGTGCGTGCGTGCCCAAGCTCCCGAGAGGAGAATGGAGGAGAAGGGATTGCGGCGTGACCATCCCCCCTGGGGGGGTGATTTCTCGCTTTCTGTCTCTATGTCTCTCTCTGTCTTTCTGTGAGCACACACACCCTACAGCAAAAACCTCTCCCCCCCAAAAAAAAGTCACAAGGAAGAAGAAGATACCTTCATGGCTCCTGAGAACTAGTGATTTCAGGGAAAGAAGAGAAATAAAGATTTTCCACGGATAATTCGGCCTCCAGCCCACAAACTCGAGTGAAGAGGCAAGGGGACAGGCCTTCAGAAGAAGACACCTTCATGGCTCCTGAGAACTAGTGATTTCAGGGAAATAAGAGAAATAAGATTTTTCCACTAATAATTCAGCCTCCAACCTGCAAACTCAAGTGGTAGGAGGACTTTCAAGCCTTCTGTCTCTGTTTCTTTCTACTTCTATGTCTTCTCAATTTTTGTAATATTTCCTTTTTAAAATTGTTTAAGGTAAAGCATTTTCTCAGCTTTCAGCCGTTCCTTTCCCTTAATCTTGTTAATAATCCCCTCTGCCACTCCCAACCCAGGAGAGGCAAAGGGACAGGCCTTCAGAAGAAAACACCTTCATGGCTCCTGACAACTAGTGATTTGCGTGGTGCGCAAGTGCGCTGCGTGGTTTTCTACTTTTTGCTTTTTTTAAAAAAATAATTTTTTAAATTATAAACATTGTTTTCTTCCCTTTTTCCCTGTTTCTTGGTTGTTGTTGTTGCTGTTGTTTCTCTCTCTCTTTTCCTCTTCTGCATGCTCCCAGACGCTCACATTTAACGTCAAGTTTGGGAAGAAACACACCCTCCATCAGATGACTAGAAATCACCACAGGGCCACAAGAAATATGGGAAAACAAGAAAATACCTCTCCTCCAAGGGAAAAGAATAGCTCCTGTTCATCTACAGACAGTACAATGGAAATCATAGAAATGTCTGATAAAGAATTTAGAACATTCATAATGGTGAAGCTAACAGAGATGGAAGAGAAGAGAGATAATGAACTACTAAAGAGAAAGGAGAAAGAAGTTGATGAGTTCCAGGAGGTGAGGAAATTCTTGCAAGATCTAAGAGAGGAATTACACACTTTACAAAAGAATCAAATTGGTCTGTTAGAGATGAAGGCTATAATATAGGAAGTCAAAATCTCCCTTGAAAGTATTAAATGCAGACTAGATCATACAGAAAATAGAATCTCAGACATAGAAGAGAAAATTGCTGGCCTAGAAAAATCCATCATAAAGACTGAGAAAATTGCCCCAAAATGTGAGAATAATATGAGAAATACTGGATACTATCAAATGTCCAAACATCTGGATAATTGGCATCCCAGAAGGTGAAGAGACTCATAAGGGCATTGATAATCTATTCCATGAAATCCTGCAAGAAAACTTTCCAAACCTAGAGAGGCACTCAAAGACCCAGTCCCAAGAAATACAAAGGACCCCAAATAGAATCAACCCAAGATCTTCTCCAAGACACATTATAGCCAGACTGACCAAAACCACAGACAAAGACAAGATACTAAGACTGGCAAGAGGGAAGTGGCAAGTCACGTACAAAGGATAACCCATCAGACTAACAGCAGACCTCTCATCAGAAACAATGTGAGTGAGGAAAGAATGGGAAAAGTGTTAAGGGAAAAGCAATTACCAAGAATACTGTACCCAGAAAGGTGGCTTAAAACTCACGCCGGGCGCGTGTGCGTGCGTGCCCAAGATCCCGAGAGGAGAATGGAGGAGAAGGGACTGCGGCGTGACCATCCCCCAACTGTAGACATATATATATATATATATATATATGTAGGGAAGGCCAGCAGGCTAGCAATCTAGGCAAGAATTGATGATGTAAAGCCTTCCCTACATATATATATATATGTATACATCTACACACATACATGAAACTAGAAATAGAAAATTATTGAGGATAACATGCATGATTAAGCCACTATACAGTATATTTTGGATGGGAAATCACGTTTTGTATGCTGTGATGATGCTTAGGGAATGAATGTAAATTAACTAATTAAAATAAAAGTTTCAGGAGGAAAACTCCCCCACACAAAACCTGTTTTTCTTGAAATAAAAAAAGCATTAAAAATACCTATTTGAGGACTGCAGTAAGCCATATAGCCCCACCCAGGTGCTGCTTTATAGTATGTTCATTCTACTCACTGAGGGTTATGCCTAAAGTCAGACTTGTGTTCATAGATATGTATATATCAGCTGCACTTGCTACTGAAAATATTTAATTTCTTTAGCAAATCAATAAAATGGGGGAAAAGGCATAGAAAGCAACCATGGATACCAGAGACAGTGTGGGAGGAGGGTGAGACATGGCAGAGGGTGAGAGATAGGGAATCAAGGATGGGGAAAAAAGGCAAAATATACAGGAAACAAGAAATGGAAAATTATTTGTTCATGATAACACGTATGTTGATGTGCTTGATTGAGTCAATATATAGTGTATTCTGGATGGAAAAATCTCATTTTGTATGCTATAATGATGTATAGTGAATTAATGTAAATAAATAAATTTAAATGAAAAAAAAAACTTAGCTATGGTGTTCATGTGTTCAAACATCATGCTTAATTTTGCTGTAAAGGTAATTCTTAGGTACTATTAACTTTTAAATCAGTAACTTTCAGTAAAGCAGATGACCCTCCATAAAGTTGACCCCACCCAATCATTGGAAGGTCTTAAGAGCAAAGGCTGAGGTTTCCTGAAGTAGGATGAATTCTCCTTAGAAGACTGCAATGTACATACTGTGCCTGAGTTTACAACCTGCTGCCTTCTGGAACTTGGACTCAAGGCTTTACATCATCAATTCTTGCCTAGATTGCTAGCCTGCTGGCCTTCCCTACTGATTCAGGATTTGCCAGCACACACAATAGCATGAGCAAATCCTCTAAGACAACTCCCTCTCTCTCTCTCTCTGGCTCCCATTGGTACCATCTCTCTGGAGAACCCTGCCTGACATACCCACCATAGTCAAATCCATAGAGACCGAAAGTAGACCAGTGGTTGCCAAGGTTTGTGAGGAGGATGAATGAGGACTTGCTGTTTACTCAATATGAGTTTTTTTGGAGGGTCTAAAGTGTTCTAGAATGAGATGGGGTGATGGTTTTACAACAATGTGACTGTACTCAAAAGCACTGATGTATAAACTTTAAAATGAATTTTGGTCAATTTTTCGCAATATTGTAAAAATCAGTTAATTGATTTAAAGGAGGAAGAGGAGAATGAAGAAGTCTTACTCTTCTGTTCCATGTCTTTTTCCTGATATGACCAGGATGCCACAAGGGGGACAGCAATAGCCCCAAATTTTCCATGCCATTTCCAATCAACAGCTATCTCCTCATCCATCTCAGATGTTAGCATCCAGGGAAAGATTCTAATGCAGACATGAAGCCAGTGACATTTTGAGAGACGAGCCTGGCTCCTGCATCACCTATCTCACCCCACGGAGGTACTGAATGCATTCACTAACGTCAGAACCTGAAGATATCAAGTTTGTGCAAAAGTAACTATTATTGACTTAGAGAGCGGGTCGTCTTACTTCTGAGCGGTTACTCTATATCTCCAAGCGACAAAAGAGAGAATTAAAAATGGGTGAAGTTGAGAAAGGCAAGAAGATTTTTGTTCAGAAGTGTGCCCAGTGCCACACTGTGGAAAAGGGAGGCAAGCACAAGACTGGCCCAAATCTCCATGGTCTATTTGGGCGGAAGACAGGTCAGGCCCCTGGATTCTCTTACACAGATGCCAACAAGAACAAAGGCATCACCTGGGGAGAAGACACGCTGATGGAGTATTTGGAGAATCTCAAGAAGTACATCCCTGGAACAAAAATGATCTTCGCTGGCATTAAAATTTTAGAAATTGTGTGATCAATAAAATGTGTGGCGGGGGAAAGAAATGGAAGACAACTGTAGACACCAGAGATAGTGTGAGAAGAGGCTGGGAAAGGGCAAAGGGTCAGAAATAGTGGTTGATAGTAATTTCAGTTCAGTAAGTGCTATCACTATTTTTGTCCTTTCTAAAGATATATTTAGTAATTCATTAGTGATGCTCACATTTCTACAAAGATGGTGAATGCCATCTCAAAGCCTACTGGAGATTAGTTTTATTTAGGCTTACATGTAACTGGTTATATGAATATATAAATGCTGG